TTTTGTTTTTGTGTTTGTGTGTGTGTGTGTGTGTGTGTGTGTGTGTGTGTGTGTGTGTGTGTGTGATGTTGGTTCCTTTTTCTAACAGTTTACCATTAAGAGCCAACATTAAAACAGTTTAAATATGCAACACTATAACATATACCAATCTGTACTGTATAATTTGGCCACAATACTTGTAAAGTAGAAGTACTGATGAAGGAAAATGGTCATGGTATTGAGGCACCTGTCTGAGAAATGAGACATGAGTTTATTTCCCATCTTTACCTTAGATTTCCTGTGACAGTAGGCAAGTCACTTTGGGATAAATTCAATTTCACTTTTACCACACTTAAGTGGCATTTATCTAGCAACAATTTTTAACACTCATACTCTGTTTAATTTATGCCTATCATGCATTTCCCTTCTGAATCTACTCAGTAGGCTACACTATGGCTGCATATGTCCTTGTATGAAAAAGAATCACCCAGGGAATGTGAAATGCTTTGTAAATCCTGGAAATTTTAGTTGCAGATAAACCTGGGGTTTAGAAGGCAGCAAAACACTCTTCCACCTTTTAACTCAATAAGCTGAGAAACTAGCTCAGAGAGCAAGAAATGCAGTTTGTAGCCCCAACTGACCCAAAAGAAATTTGAACCTGTTATCTCCCACTTCCCAACAAAATGCTTTAAACACCTGACCACAAGCTAGGTATTACCCCTAATCTACAACTCTCCTTTTGAAGCTGGCCCACTGGAGTGAGATGAAGTAAAACAAGCCAGAGGGAATGTGGATTATTAAAATGTTTGCTGCTCCATACAAGAAGGGCAACCTAGGTCCTGGCCTATGTCCCAATATTCCACTTCTGTTTATCCCTTTTAGCCAATCAATAGTAAGGCAAGATATAGTGGGCCAGCTTCAAGAGAAGTGCTGGAGAGTGACTTGGGTAATGTGTAGTCCATGGCCTGATGGCTACAGCATTTGACTAGGAAACTCGAGATGCAAGTTCAAACCTCCCTTGGATGAGGATAGCCTTGAATCTAGATTTCCCATTCCCTGGATAAATTCCCCTATGCTACTACTCCACTTTACTTCCAGCAGACACACAGGACAATTCTATTCCAACACAGATTAAAATAGAATTTAAACTGTGTAAGTGACAAAAAATTGCTGTTACATAGCTGAATACTTGCTGGTTTGGCATGTAAGTATGAAATAGGACTTGAATGATCATCGTTCTTCTTCAGATTCTGGTCTATTTAATAAAGCTAATAATACTTCTTTACTTCATAGTCTAGCTATCAAGATTTGGGGGTGACTAAGACCCTGCAGTGACACAGTGGCAAGATAATTACAGGCAAGTAACAATAGCGGAACTGTATGAACAGACAAGACATCGTCACGTAGTAAATAACAAACAGTCTTGATTCAATATTTTTCATTAAAATTTGGGAGTAACAGAAAAGAACCAGATTCAAAGTTGGTGCTTATCAGCAGATGTTTTGACCTCAGTGAAATTATGCCAATTTATATCAACTGAAATTCCCACCCAGAGACTACACAGATTTTTTTTTTTTTAATTCTTTTTACCTCTGATATATAAAGCGTAATCCAGACAGGACAGTAAGACTTTGGTCCTTGAACTATTTTGGAACTACATGTGTCCTCATGAAATATGCAGATAACACTAGGCTGTATAAGGTATACAGAAGAGGACCAAATTATTATACAGGGGTCACACATCCATTGCATGTATATTAATGAAATGCAATAAACTCCAGTGCTTATTGAACCAGGGTTTACTACCGGGCGCTACGTTTACATGCGTGCTCTGAACTGCAGCACATTGAGCCAGTTTGGAGCAGCCCCAGCTGGCAGGGGGTCCAGAGGGTCAGCCTGCCAGCACAAGGCTGCTCCAACCCAGCTCAGCATGCTGCAGATGGGCTGGCCAGAGTGCAATATTGCTCCGAAGTAAGGCTAGCCAGCTGGCAGTCCCCTTCATTGAAGCACCCTCGTGCCCCAGCCAGCCGCACCTGCATCGACATGTGCACTGCTGCAGAGTAAAACAAAACAAAAACAAAACACTCTGCAGCAGGGCAGTACTTGTAAACACAAGTACTACCCTTCTGCAGGGTTAGTTTCCTCTGGCCTAACATGAGGCATTTAATATGGAGCTAATTAGTCGACTGCAGTCTTGTGTAGCCTACTCTACATCTTGTGTAAACACGCCCAGGAAAAATTAGATCATCTTGAGGAATGGAGCATTAATATGGTATGAAGTTTATCAGTAGGAAGTCCAAAATAATACACTTGGAACTTCGGCTTTAAGATTGGGTGCACAGACTGGCGATAACTGAGAAAGAGGCACCTACGTGTATTTGTCATTCACAGGATGTTCTGAGTTGACAGTGTAATGAAAGACAAATGCAATCAAAAGGTATAATAGGCAGAGTACATTCTGTAGTGACAAGGAGGTATTTGGTACCATTGTATAAGACATTATAAGACCTCCTTTAAAATACTGTGGCCAGTTGTGGTCACCAATGTTCCATAACAGTGAACTTAAACTGGACAGGGTTCAAAGAAATGCCACTACTATGGTTAAGGGAACTGAAGACCTTTCCTTATCAAAGAAGTTTAAAGGAGCTTGTTTTGTTTGGTTTAGCAAAAGACAGTTTCACTTATTGTTTACAAGTATATCTGTAGTTTAATATTAGGTGAGGTGAAGACATTTTTTAAGCTGAAAGGCATCAGCATAGGATCAAATGACTAAAATGGTTAAGGGTGAATTTTAAATGGGAAATTAAAATAGGATTTCTCTCTGTCAGAGGAATGAAGTTTGGTCTTCTAAGCCAAACAGTGGCAGCAAAAAACCTGAGTCACTTGAAACTTGAACTTGATATTATGGAACATGGTAGAAGTCCAGTGACCTATGCTTCATGGCTTTTGTTGGCCACCACAAATGCAGCTGACTTCTGAGGGTGGTGTCTGGCCATCACCTTCCTCTGAAGCATTCAGACATCAGTCACACCTAAGGCTCCAGCAATGATCCTGCTGGTACCCAAAAAATTGGAGGATCCAATCACCCACTGGGGTCAAGAAGTACTTTTCCCCTCCCCTAGATCAGGTTGGCAAGTGCAGTGTGTTTGTGGGCCAGTAGTTACCTTCCTTGGTAGGACAGGGCATGGTGCTTTTCCTAGGATCTTCTGAGCGTATATTAGCCAATGATTTCCATGTAATTACAGTAATAGTACTGTGATTTCCACTTCTACCTACTGAATGTTATAGGACATTCTGTGTGTTTCTGGTATTCTAATTGTGTGTTTAAACTTTGAAATGACCATTTTGGGGATTCCTTGGGTAATTTAATTGCCTGTGAAAGTATAGGACTGGACCTGATGATCCAAAGGACCTCTTTGTTTCCTCCCTAATGTTTTATAGGGTGCCATGTTGATTTAAGTGCCCTAAATAAAAAGTAAAAACTTAAGATAAAAAAATACTGAGAGCAATATATTGCTATGATCACAGTGAGGGGTAAGTCTTACGTATCTGTCAAAAGCTACTAAAAGTCATACAATGAAAGTTTTAACATGTATTGATAAAATGATAAAGCAATAGAAATGGAAAACCTGAAACCTAATACACTATATTAACAATGAAACACTTCTAAACTGCTTCAACATTAAAGCTGGTGGAAAAAATATTTCTATAATATCTTTAACCCAGAGATGGAGCTCTTGAACCACTAATAGAAAAAGAACTGAAGAAAGTAGGTATTGGTAGTAGCTTACTGCAAGGAGATACGAGGACGCACACAATTTCTACAATTATTTTCTGTTCTAGCTCAAAGACAGAAAATCTAGATCAAAAGAACCACTATGAAACCACATGCTGTAATTTAAAAATTAACCTGAGCTTTTGTTCCTTCAGTTGTCTGCAGTACAGCTTAGTCATTTTAAAGTCCAAGTATGTGATTGTGCCTATTTGTGAAGCCTAGCCTCACATATTGCATGCCTCTTTTGACAACATCTGAGCCATATTTGTTTTAAAGTTTTGTCCCCAGGTTTTTTCAGGAATCCTAGTTTACTTGAATTCCTCTTCACACCTTCTAACATCTGTGCACCCAGGGACCCTTTTTATACTAGTCTCTAGCACACAATCCTCTTTCTACTCTAACTTTGTTCTGAACAGACCGTGTGTTAAATTTAATTACAGAAAGTATGAAACAGAAGTAACAAGGTCATGAAGTACTACAAAAAGGGCAAAGAAGGTAAAGTAGGAGAGGATTCAAAATCTGTCATTTTTATCTTTGAATTGCTTATTAGTATCTCTTCCTCACCAGTGTAACTCCTGAAAGACAGAGATGTTTTTAAATTTTATCTCTTCTTAAAATATGAAGTGGAAGTTCAGAAACAATTTATAAAGGAGTGTAGTTGCCTTATAAAACCTTTGGGATATCTCCCATACAACAGAAACACACAGGTCCAGATTCTTTACTGCTTTGCATACAATGTTATTTAAAAAAGGTATATGCAGCACCTTTTCAAAAGGGGAATGTGTCATAAGCAGAGCTACTGATCCTACCCACACAGAAGCCATTATGTTCTAACAACTGCATATGGAGAAAGCAATACAATTTAGCAAAACTGTTTCAACCTGATAAACCTGCTAATGTGGGATTAAGGTTCTGACCCAGTAGAATATGCCAGCATTCTCCTCTGGTAGACTTAAAACTTTCTGATATTTTGCATAGGTGTAAATATTACACAAAAATACATGCCAGAGGTTTATAGACCTGTTTTTGAGTTCTTCTCTGGAGTTGGAAATTTGATTCCTAAAAGGAAGTATCTTACAGATTCCCTGCTCATACTTTGCAGAACAGGGTGCATGGAGACTGCACACCTTCACAACACTTCCTCCATACCCTCTCTGCCTCAAAGACACCAGAGTTACAGTGCTGCTGACAGTTGCTGTCTGTGCAGCTTTGGGATTGGTGGATTTTGTATCACCAAGGAAAAATCCATCCCAGTTCATATTAACTGGATGGGTCAAACAGTCACTGAAGAGGGAATCCCCAGAGAGCTGAAAGAATGAAATGTAATGAATGCAGGATGAACTACATCTCTTGTCCAGATTTAATCTGTCCCAAATCAGTGATGGCCTTTTCCAAGGAACAGGGACAATGATATGCATGCTCTCCAAAGAGACCACAACTGTGTTTAAAAGACCAAAAAGAGTACAATGATTAAAAACCAGTTACATAATGTAAACCTGACAAATTTATTTAAAATTTTTCATTAATTTGAGTCTCAGAATGAAGATTAAAATAGCAAATTTAATCATCTTTAAAATATTTCACCAAAAGAAATTGTTCTGAAAATGTTATTGCTAGGAAACAGGCTTTACAATGAGCTTTAAATAATTAATCAATGTATTAGCTAATAAAATAATGTATTGCTACACTGTTCATCTGGCATAATTTAAATGAATGTACATAGCAAAGACTGTTCTATAAATGATGGGAAATGTTGGCATAAGACCAGATTGAGTTCTTATGGTAACTGCTGCTGTTCTTAAGTAATTAAATTCTGAAATAATTACTGCAAAGAGATATCTGCAGCCAAGAATTGTACAAAAACAAGGCTGCTGACTTAACAGACTTTGTTTCACTTAATCAAACTTACATTTAAGTATTTCCTTTGTTTTCAGATATTTAAATTACAATTGACATTTGTAAGCTGCCTGATGAGGGAAACTGCTCAGCTAAGATTTTGTCATAGAACTCTTATCGCTAGAAATATAAAAAGCCTGTGGGGGAAGAGGGAAGATTGGAAGCTGGATTGCAGCTTTTAAAACTGCATTTATAACAGTTTAACAATGGTAAAATAATTACCAATTTTTTTTAAATTATGCCTTGACCTTTCTCTTCTGACTATTAAACCCACTGCTAATGCAGTTCATAGACAAAGTTAGAGTACATTGCATGACACTACAACAAAGCCACTGTTCCAGCTGCCATCACTTTTAATGAAAGACTACTCTTCCCTCCCCTCTCCCCAATGCCTCAAACAGAACAAATGTAATTGAGGCATTTTTAAAGATGACTCCCAGTTCAAAAAAGACAGTGTGGACTGTACATGAGATGCTGATCACGCAGTTGTTACTGCACGGTCATTTAGTACTTGCATACATAATTACTAAAGGACTGCGCAAGTGTGCCCAGTGGTGTCCCCACATGTCTTTGTGGTAATGCAGACTGTGCAGCAGCTGGTTACTACTGTGCAGTAACATTATGTCATGCTTCCTGCCATGTGATGCTGCTGTGCAATAGTAATGAACTACTAGTCTCGGGTAGATGCAGCTAAGGGGTACCATTTTAGCAACTGAATGACCACATATAGCTTTCCAGTTTCACTTGGGAGGGCAGAAACTCATCCTTTCAGTATTCACTCGGCTCCCAAAAAAGCCTTGTTATGAATCAAAGAGCAGGGAAGGAATAAGACGTCTATTAAAATGGAAGTGTTTCCTTAGCTTTAGAAGGAAATGGATCCAGGCTAGAGCCGGCCTGGCACTCCTAATGTCATCCGAGTGTCTGGAGGGGGAGGGGGGATCTGAGGATCACACCTTGGATTCAATAACCCTGTGATCAATTCCCAAGTCAGGAACAGCTCAGAACTGCGCTGCCCTGCCTTGGATGAGGGAGCGGGGCAGGGCAGACCCTTCTCCTGGAAAACAGACCCACCACCCCCCCGGGCTCCTGCAGCCGGACCCCGCCCCAAACGGGGGGCGATGGCGACGTCACCACCACCCGAGGGCAGCAGCAGCGCCGGCGCCGCCCAGTGCCCCGACCCCGCCCCGGCGAAGGGAGGGGAGGGGAAAGGAGAGGCCGCTACCTGCTGGCGCGGCCTGCAGCAGGAGGAGGAGTGCGGCGACGCGGACTGCTGAGAAGGGAGCGGCAAGCGCCCCCCGGCCCCGCCTCCTGCCCGCCTGGTGCGACATGGCGCGCCGCCCTGCAGGTTCGTTAGCGGCCTCGAACCTCGACAGCCGGTGTCGCCATGGTGATGGGGCGAGGCTGCGTCGCCTGCCGGCGCGTGCTGAAGTGCTGGTGGGGATGTTGCGCATGCGCACTCGGCTGGGCCCGGCGGGTCCCGGATTGGTTGCGCCCCGGCTCCCCGCCTGAGTGGAGTTTGCTTCTTCTGGGAGCGCCCTTCTCCCACCGCTCCAGCTTAGGGGTGTTGGGAGGGAGGGCAGCAAGAGAAAGGACCCTGGCAGGCAGTCCCACCTTCCCCGGGCACTTAGGAGTTTGCAGAGTGGGGTGCAAGGGCTGCTGTACACCTGCATGACCGTCTATAAGGTTTTTTTTCCCCCTTAAAAGGAAGCCAGAGTCTTTTCCTAACGTGCCCGGAGCCCAGGGCTCTGCTCTTCCCTTTCAGATCAAAGCAAAATCTCCTATATCATCATTGGACCCTGCATTTGTCTGCTGTGCCCTAGATGGGTGTTTCTCAAACAGTAGGTCACAACCCAAAAATGGGTCACAAGAATATATGAACGGGTCACAAACACACTTAAAAAAATGGGTCAACAAACTTTAAAAATAGATTCTTCTTTAAAGAAAAAAAATCATTGGCAATCAGGGCTTTACTCTTGCAGGCTGGCAGAGTTCCCCCTGTGTCCCACATACGGGGCAGCAGGTCAGGAGTGAGGGGTACTGGGCCTAAAATCAGACTTTATCAAGTTATTTTAACTTGTCTACATTCTATATTAAAGTAGCAATAATCAAATTTCATGAGAATTGCACAAGTCTGAAAGAAACAGCATTTAAAATTAGTCATTCTAGTTCAAGTCAAACAAGACTTTTCCTTGCAAACTTTCTGAAAAAAAGAAAATATGTGAAGGATTATTGTAAGCATTCTTGTTTCTGCTTTTCAGAAATTTATGGTTTTTGTCTCCAGCTGCCATTTGAAAAGAACATAACACTACAATGATGAAGGACAAGGTATTGTAATTCTGCAAGGCATTTGGGAATATGTCAAAGAAGCTACAGAAATTTAATAGTAAGTGAAAAGATCAACAGAGAAGAAAGTATAGAAAAAAAATATCAAAACACTATATCATTAATATTGGTTATATTAATGTACTATATATGTTAATGATATGTTAGTTCCTTTTTCTAAAACACTTTACCATTAGGAACCATCACTTAGAGTATTATACATTAATGTAAATATGTGTTAAGGGCCCTTAAAACAGGAGTATCCACACATTAGGGCAGGGAAATGTGTTAAGGGCCCTCTGAGCAGCTTAGAGAGAAACCTCTTCCATCAAGGATTATCTCTGACTGGTTTTGGGCAGATCATGTTGCAGTTACGTGACTGTTCCACAGGGCCCAAACCAGTTGGGATCAATCCTTCAGCAGCTGAGGAAGTGTTGTTCCCAGCTACTCTATCTTCACCCACAGTGACCTGTAATCAAAAAAAGAAGTGAAAGCTAAAAGTTGGTATTTTCCAAAAGGTGCTTTGAGTCTAACAAGGGGCATGTTGCATCTAAAAAAGTTGAGAGCCGCTGGTCTAATTTAGTGTAGCTGTGTTTTGAAAAGCAATGGTACAAAAAGGCCCCTTGTTACTTAACGGATAAGCTGCTTGTGCATCGTCAGGCCAAAGGTTTGTCTCAGAAGTCCAAAGGTAAACATATTTTTACTCTTTTCTACATTTTAAAGAGCCAATGCAAGAATATTGGGGCTTGATAGAGCTGTGCATTCTCATCTTTTTTGTGCATTATCAGCAGTATTGGTTATTAAGTTCTAACCATTTACACCTTAGAAAATTCTAATTTGCAACTCTGGAAGCTAGAAAAGCTTGTTTTCTAATTAAAACTTGGATGCATATCATATGGAAATCATTGAGACACAACAAATGTGGCATTTTAAATGTCATATTACAGAGAAGAATCACATTTTAAGAACATTTGCTCCATAACCTGAAGGAACAAAAATGTTGGTAGATACAAAGTGAATGTAAGGTGTGTCAGAAAGATTTCTGTTTTTTTCACCAATTTCTGTTTTTTCACTGCTTTTCTATAAAAGCTCTCAAAATTGCCTTTACAGGCACCCAACCATGGACTAAATCCATACCAGCAAAGAAAGAAAGTTTACATTAGATTTTCTTTTTCCCATAGTAGATCTTCTCCCATGGGTTCATTAAGAATGTGAATTTCAGAAAAAAGGTTTTTTTTGATTAGATCAGACCACTTGTTTCTGATTGTGATTTCACATCAGTGCTAAGAGTAACTGAGTTCAGTGAACTTACGACTGTGTGAAACCATTGTAAACCAAAGGATAGCTGGATTTCTAACTTCAGCTGTTCTGTGGTAACTGTCCCTAGGTCCACAGCTATCTTGTGGTAAGTAAAAGCTAAACCAGGGCAACTTACCCTTCTTTCTTTTAAATTGAGTTAAAAACAACTAGTAAAAGTCTAGAGATAAGCACTCATATTTTGCAGGGTGGGAATTTTTAATATTTATGGTCAATATGGCTTATTAACTGTAAATAATATTATTAATCTCTGATTTTTATTTTTTTCTATTTGTTTAATAAACCTTGTATCACTTAAAACAATTTATGCGTCTATTCCTGTCACTTCTTGTCTAAATTTCAGGTGTGTAGGTACTTTATATATAAAAATCCTAATTTGTTTTTGGGTAATCTGAAAGCATATTATGGAGTAAGTAGCTGTGCTCTCATTTTCAAGATGCTGATTGTTTCCTCTAGGTATCAGGTTATGATGATTACACAGTTACAAGTTGCATTGTGTGTTAATGTTCCACTGTTGCCAAGCAACAAAAAGACTCTTTGCTCATCGGACAGTTTAATTCTTTCTCTGGCTTCCTTTCTTGCTCTTTTCCAGTAAAGAACTCACCTTTTAAACTAGTGTTTTGGCTTTTAGGGTTTATCTGAAGTGTTTTTTGGTGGATGCAGTCCTATTTGCTGTGCTTTATTGAACAGGATTTCAGAAAGTCTGTGAAGTAAGATAAAGTCGATCCTTTAATTTACTCTCATCTAAGGAGGTAAAGAGAATGACCATGGTTTCCCAGGGGGCTGAAAGGCAGATTAGTGGCTTGAAAACAGTCAATCAGTCAGTCAAACCAGTTCACAAGATGGATCGCCAGCAGTATCAAAATCTGTTACGGAAAATGTACATGCCTTCTGTGAGAGGACCTGATGACAGACATGATTTTGACAGCTTCCAGCAGAAAGACAGTAAATCTTTTCTTAAATTCAATCCTTATACTCCAGCAGGTGGGCCGGACTATCCTTTATTCCCACACCGGGACAATGTGCCTTTGGTTGACCCCTGCTCGGGATTCATAAGTGCAGGAGCTAATGCTCTTTTGCAGCCAAACTGTGGCAGAACCATTGATTCACTGGTGGATTACAGTGATGTAAAACCTCATCAGCGGGTTCCTGCTCCAGAAAAAACCCCACAGGCTGCACACAGAAGGCATATGATTTTGTTAGAGGAAATGAACCAGGACAGACGTTGGAATTCCAGGAAAGTGTCAGATGCTGTGATCAGGGCACGACTTGGAGGTAAAGCAAGTTGTTATTATTACTTGTTAATCGCATCTTGGGCTCCACGAGGCACAAAGACATTCCTTGCCCCACAGAACCTACAAATTATGGCCTTAATATAATACGTTTGCATTTGATATTTACATTGAAACCAACCACAGGGAAAAAAAACAGAACAGTTAGATAATTAATTGTCCCAAGAGCAGCATCCAGGTGCCAAATAGGAAATTATAGCTTACAAAGGCAAAGCAAAAGAATTTGAAATTAATTAATATAAAATAAACCATAATCTCTTAAAAGGTAATTACAGTAATCAAAATGAGAATCTTATCATACTGTGAGCTGGTATAGCTTATCAGTTTGAAGAGTAGCAACCCTAAACACTGATGTATCTTTTGACATTGTATGCCACAAAGCTAAAGTCACTTCAACCAGAGCACAACTTGGCAATAATGTGGATCGTAGAGTGGAATTCCTCTAGAACTGTCATGGTGCCTTGGTCCAAATACATGCTGTGTAGTTATATATACAACAAAATATCAATAGTATTCAAGAACTGATACATGGAGCTCACTTGCCCATTGGGGCCTGATTCTACTCCCCTTAAAGTTGGCAACAAAACTCATTGGCTTTAATGGGAACATGATCAGACCGGCTTAATCCTTCAAACCATAATCTGTTGAAAGAACTGAACTATAAAACGCTTCCATGGGGTAGTTCTAAAAACAAAATGAATCACTATCATTAAGCAGTACAGCAAAACCTTTTTTTTAAAGTTTAACAGAATCCAAAAATAATTTCCTTAATGCTCTTAGAAACCTGAACAAAATTTTAGAAGATCCTTGGGCATACTATTACAAAATTTCTGAAGGACAAGAAGATCCATATGATCTTTAGTGTAGACTTCACTAATATTCATAACTATAAAGAACTTTTTTACAATGCAAAAATACCATTGTCACCACTGTAAATTAATTGTGTTTTATTCAAATCAGTCATCTGAGAAAGTCCTTCAGTCCCACAAATTTTAGCAATAATACTGGTTACCTTGTCATATTATTTAATTTTTTTTTACTTTAAATAAAAAAATGAAGCCTACTATAGTCCTAAAAGTAAATTTTTAAAGCCACAAATAAATTAGTAAATGAAGTATAACCTTAACCAGTCTATCAATCTTTTCTTTGTTCAACCTCTATCACTCGCACTCAGTTTCTCAAATTCTATTCTTTTAATATTTTCTCTGATTCCATGTTTTGTTTTTACATATATTTCTGGCTTTTATGGCAAAGTAGCACAAATTGCCAGAGGTAAACAGCTTTTATGCTGGTTTCTGGAAAAGAAAATGAGGGGATGGAGGATCTGAGCTAGAGATGGCTGAAAAGGGACATAGAAAGGAAATATGAAACTGTGACCAAGTCATTGTCTAATTTACAGTGATCTGAAATGGCAGATAAATCCAAGATTCAGGCACATACAGGTTTCCCTCGCTTTATGCTGTACACGCGTTCCTGGAAAACGTCGCATTAACTCAAATTTGCATAAAGGGAGCCCAATTTACAATGTAATAAATAGGGATATGTTCCAAGACCTCAACTGTACTGACCCCCGGACCCATTTCTACCAGTTTTACAAGGCAGTTTTGATAGTCACCAACAGCAGACAGTGTACAGAAGCATAGGATGGTGGTGAATGTTGCTATAATGGGGATGGCAACTACAGAAACACATGTTGCAGACAACGAGCGAGGAGTACAGGTCGACACAAGAGACTATATTTTAGTGCACATCACTCCCACAATGCATCGCACAAAGCAGCTGACTGCAGGCTTCCACCACACCAGTCACATAAGAGTGAATTTACCTTGCATATAATGAATTTTTTATATAAAAAGATCGCATAAGAGTGAATTCCCACATACAGAACCCGTATAAAGCAAGGGAAACCTGTACCATAAAATACTTTTCTTCAGGTATGTCAGAAAGACCCAAGTTAAGATCTTAGGGTTAAATCTTAGTTCCACTGAAATCAATGGCAAAACTCGGAGTATCTTAGGAAAGACACCGGAAAGAGCCACTCCAACAGCAATTTCTTCATGAAAGCTTGACAAAAGCTTTGCAAGCCTGGTTTTATTTACAAGAGTTTTTGGACATTGGCTAACCTGATAAGGAGAACTTTAAACTAGATTCTATGGTGAATGGCAGGAAAACTACCACATGCAAGTGTACAGAGGATCATGACCTGGAAAAAAACATGGTGGAATAATTCCCGTAAGTGGAATATTGATGTTGAGGGGATAGCTTGTTTTAGAAGTTAGGTCCAGGAAAAAGGGATCAGACATTTCACTATATGTCAAAAATAGATTCATTTAGTCCAAGCCCTCCCCCACCCCCTCCAAAAAAATTATTTTTAAGCATATGTGGTTGAAAATGAAGGGCGAAAAGAGCGGTGATATTATGGTGGGGGCCTGCTATCAACCACTCAATCAGTAAGCAAGTAGATGAAGCATTTTCCTAGCAAATAACAAGAATACTTAAGATTTGTGAAGTAGTAAAAACAAAGAATTTTAATTTTCTTGAAATAGCAAAATGCAAAAAAGGCCAGCACATTTTTAACAGCTTTAGAGGACAATTTTCTGGAAAACTGAAAGAAAGGAAGCAAGTAGGGGTTCCTTTATTTTGGATCTGCTTCTCAGGAACTGGGATGACCTGGCTGCAAGTATGAAGGTGGTTGGGAATTTGGGAGAAGGTGATAATGTTATTTACAATATTTACCAGAGTGACCTCCCCTCCAAGCTGATCTGGGTGAGGGGTAGGCTTCAAATATTCTGTCTCCCCATCTCCTGTTTATCCAGGAGCTGCTGGATTGGGAGTTCCAACCGATCCTGTCCCATGCAGTGATGTAGATGCCTACCTGGTCAAAGGTTTTATCTTGCCATCAAGAAGAAAGGGAAGAGGGGACAACCAGAGTTAACAAAAAAAAATAGTCAAGTAAAATATTTGTAGTAAAAAGAGCAAGCCCCTGTCTGTTTACTTACCCAAGGACTCATAGTTTACATAGTTCACAATCTCTGCAGCATATAAACAGTGTTAACTAATAATAGAATACTGCCTTCTCGTACTAACCAAAAATCTGTTTTTGGCAGCACATGTACTTAAACCAGCTCATCCAGAAAGTGCTGCATGCAAAAATCAAAGTAATCCCTCAAGGGCTCTCTATTACCAGTAAAACCAATTGTATTTCCTCCAGGGATTTGATAATTTATGGTCTGCAAAGTTATATATATTCATTGTGTGATAGCTTTTCACCGTTGCCAAGTAGGGGAGAAATTCTTTGCATGTTCAACAGCCTCATTTCTTCCACGTGGCTTCATTTGTAATCAACCTTTGCAATTTAAGATACTGTTTTTATTTTGTTTCTTTGTGAAATCAGTTTCAGTGGCTGAGTTTAATCTTCAAATGGTTCCATAGGAAAAGAGAAACAAAAGAGTGAGTGAGTAGTGGGACATATTTATTTTTCTGTTACACAAGTCAAATTTGACAAAGAGCTGAAACAAGTTATAAAGTTTAAACTTAGGATCACAGCCGCCTAATAAGGGGGTGTGCCAGTAGCAGTGTCCAGCTCCCACTGAAATAAACACCAGCTCTCCCATTAACCACCAGTGGATAAGGTCATGCCTTTAATGTACAATGCATAGTCTTAATGAGAGGATGCAGTGTTGACAACTCATGTCATTTTGGTGTTTTTTATAAAGGTTCTGCTCCTGGTTTTATGCAAGTAAGCACAAATCTCAATTTTCATATTTAAAAAAATAGGAAATGTTTACTTCTCTTGGTGCCTAAGAACTTGAAAATGTGACCCAAGTATACCATCAAGGGATACTGGCGCAGAAACCAAAAGACAAATTAAAATGCGCCCAAATTTATAATTGCCATAAATCCCTGCTTTGTGTAAGAGTTGAGGGGCTAATTTCAAATAATAAGCCAACTTGTTCTTGGTAGTTAAAGTGATATAAAACCAAGCCAGCGAGTTCCCAGTCTTGACAAGAGCAATCAGAGCATGCTGCCTTCAATCCTGCAGGATGAACAAGGCTACGGGGGAAATTGCAAGCTGAGAAACTCGACCCGAGGGCAAAAATTAATATGACTATGCTGAATCTCTCTGTTGAAACCAGAAGGAGAAAGGACAGTTAGAAGATTAATTATTCCAGCACCAGGATGCAGGTGTCAACATAGCAAATTATAATGTACTGTGATAGAGCAGAGGTCCCTGAAAATTCATATGTCCAATTATTAAAGCAAATGTAAAATTAGAGCTGTGTCCTTATAAGACAGGCAGGCAGAACAGCTGTCATATTTATTTTATACATACAGCATGAGGAATAACTCCTGCAACATTTGGCCTTTAATCAGTGAGCCTATGGAACAGTGTTTTAGTACTGTATAACCACTGGAGGAACCTACTTATAATACATGTGCATGTCTGCTTCTTGCCTGTAGAGGGCAGTAAAACACGTGTACTTGTGTATATACACAACTAATACAGCTTTATAGGAATGCAAACAACATCAGAAAGCTTCTTAATGGGCGTATTAGGCTTGTATCATCCCAGGCAGCATTCTAAGTTCACACAAGGCTGAGGCAAATTGAGGATGCAGTTGTAAACTTTTAAGTGACCCACATCTGCTTGTTTTTGAGACATTTCTCAACAGGCTTCTTTTAATTGACAGTGATTCATTTGAAAAAACATTAACTGGGAGCATCTACATGAGACGCTTACTGCGGAGTTGCCTAATTAACTCCGCAGTAAAGCATTACCGTCTACATGTATGGATCCGTTAGGCCAGACCAAACTAATTAACTCTACTGTAGGTTAGTACTGCCCAACATAGGTAGTATTCTACAGCGGAATTATTTACTCCACCACAATGCACATGTAGATGCTGACTGGGGCTGGCTGGGGTACAAGGCTGCTACAGTGCAGTTGCTGCCTACTGGTTAGTCCTGCACTGTATCACCCTCATGCCCGAGCCAGCTCCTCCATAGCATGTTGAGTCAGAGGAGCAGCTCCAGGCAGGCAGACTGACTCCCCACGCCCCCTGCCAGCCAGGGCTGCACCACCCTGGCTTAACATGCTGCAGTGGCAGGCACATGTGTAAACACTGCACCCAGGAGCAATAAACTCAGGAATGAACTGCACCGGAGTTTATTCAGGTGCACTGATTGCAAATGTAGATGCACCCACTATTTAAAACAGCCTAAAATGAGGTCAGCGGCAGCGGTTGGATACTCAGACCTTTTGAAAATCAGGATGGTGACTTAACTGCCTAAATACTGAAGGCGTAGTTTAATTTCCTTTTCTGAAAATCTTGGCCTTGTGATTTAAGATGTTTTATTAACCCTAGTCATATTCAAAGGACTAGTTGTTTCTGGGGAAGACCTGACTTGAACTACTGCCAGATACAGTGGTTCATATAGTCTTGTTACTAAATATATTATAATAAGCTTTGTATTCATTGGATTACCTTGATATTTGTGCCAGAGACAAGAGAAAAGAGTACAGAGAGAAAATTTGATCCCTTCAAATGTGAGGGATAGATCTAGACATGCAGGCATGTGGAATTTGTGGCACTGCAGATCTCTTTGTGGTGCCACAAAATGTACATTAAACCACACACGATGGTGCTAATTTGCAGTGACAGGGCAAAATTGGACACCGGGATTTCCTGGTAGTAAAAAAAAAAAAAAAAATACCCAGAAGAGAAAAGCAGTGCAAAAAAGGCCGGGGCTGGCTGCTCCCCTGTCTCCGTGTGCCTCAGTGTGGGGGTTCCCCCAGACCTCCCCCACCTCAAGGCACACTGTGCCCCAGCCAACTGCTTTGTGGCTGGCTAGAGTGCTGTGTGCCTCAGCGCAGGAGCTCCACAGCAGATTCTCTCCTCCTCCCCACACAGCACATGAAGCAGCCAAGACAGTGTGTCCTGCAGCAAAGTGCACAGGCAGGGGCATGCACTGCAGCACAAAGTAGTGGCACAAATTTGTTCCTCTATTATTTGCGCTGCTGCAAGCATACACCTCTGCTCGTGTGACTGTGGCCGAGAGGGGCAACTATAATGAGGCTGAAAGATGGTATGAGAGGGAAGTATTCTCACAGCACAGACACAGAACTGTGCTGTGGCTGCCTACCAGCTACACCTTTTTTTAAAAGTATACCTCTCAGAATCAGCAAAAAGCCTGCTTCATAAAGGTATTACTGCATGGACACTGTGCACAGCTTACAACCCAATCCTCTGTGTATTGAAATGCATGATTTTTCATTTGATAAGTGTACATGAACCTAGGTAGTTTCAACAATGTGGCATGTGATGACTCTTTTCAGTTGTATTAGTGCAATTTTATTATAATTACTGATTGGGATATTTTTCTTGCATGCATTAAATAAGGTAATTTTATTTTCATTGATAACACATCATATTCTGATATTAGGGCCAAATCAGCTCCATGTATTTTTAATTTGTCTGTAAATCTCTCTGAGGTTCTAGAAATGGGTGAATGAATATAGTTTTATGGCTTTCAAGATAACATAGATTACAGTACAACCTCATTATAATAAAACTATTTATAACAAAACCCAAACCTCCACTTTTAACAATCCCATCACAGGAGTTAATTTTTTCATTGTGATTATGCAACAAATTATAAACATAGAATCTCATAAAATTAGGGTTGAAAGGGACCTCAGGAGGCCATCTAATCAATCTAACGCCTCAGGAATGTCCCCAACTATATCATCCCAGCCAAGGCTTTGTCTAGCCGGGTCTTGAAAACCTCCAAGGATGGAAATTGCACCACCTCTCTGGGTAACTTGTTCCAGTGTTTTACTACCGTCCTAGTAAGAAAATTCTTCCTAATATCTAACCTAAACTTCCCTTGCTGCAACTTGAGACTGTTGCTCCCCCACGCCCCCTTCCAGGTATTTGAAGGCTACTATTAAATACCCTCTCAGTCTCCTCTTCCCTAGACTAAATAAGCCCAGTTCCCTCGAGAAATTTACTAACAGTATTACAGTGAACATCTTGTTTTAATGAACTTTTTTTCCATGCATATATGGTTTTGTTATAAAAAATGTATATTATATATGCTTTCATTTAGTTTAACAAATCGTTGCTTTAAAATGATTCACACAATATCAAGTCTTTTCTTTCAGGGTGGACAAGTCCATTAAAAGTTACTCCTGCTCCACCTAAACAAAATGATGCCTTTTCAATACATAAATGTGCATTTCACATGGACCCAAACCTTAAGGTAATGTGTCTGATGCTATTTGTTTTAATGATTATTCAGACCTGGATTCTAGAAAACATTTTTAAGATTTCTAATCTGCACAGTGGTTTCCATTTAAAATAATTTTTGCCAACTATTGTCATGTAATGATGGCATCTGAGAATACTATGTTAATTTCTTTGCCCAATTAGAGTGAAATAAGCACTGTTTTTCAGATGAGTGTGTACTATTTAGTTGAAATAAAATGCTCACTTTGCAATAGTGAGCACTGCCTCTGATGTTTTGCAAAATCTTTTTGTTGCATCTTTAAATCCTGCATAAATCAATCAAGGGGTAGTTATGCAGTCAGCTACATATAGTCCTGATCCTTAATTGAGGCTCTAGATCAGCATTTCTCAATCTGTGGGTCATGACTGAAAAGTGGGTCACAAGAATCAGAGGTCCAGACATACTTTAGAAATGGATCAACAAACTTTAAAAATGGATTCTCCTTTAAAGGAGAAAAATGTGGGAAATCAGGGCTTTTTCCTTGCAATCTGGCAGAGTTCCAGCCTGCAAGGGACTGCTTGTGGCCTCCCTGCCCCCCACTCCATGATCCCTACCTCCACACACTGAGGGGCTGGTACCTGGGGGTGGGGGCTGCTGGTCAGCAGTGAAGAGCACTGGGTTGGGACTAGTCATCAATGTTAACAAATAAGTCCTAGTACAAAAAAGATTGAGAACCACAGGTTTAGATAATAGTGTGAGATTTGATTTGCAGACTACATGAATATTAATAGTTGTGTAATATGAATATACATGTCTGCATACCCACACTAGAGATAGAGCAAGGGGAAAGATTTGAGATTTCAGAGAGATTCATCTAGTATAAAAATACCCTTCTGCAGTGGTGCTCAGCCTTCTGGACCCACAGGTCAGATGAGTGGCATGGGGCCAGTCCACAGGTCAGATCCTGTAAGCAGGTTTGGTCCGCGGGCCAGATCCAGATTGATCTGCGGGCCAGGTCAATCTACAGGATTGATCCAGCATACAGGACTGTGTCATCCAGCTGTGGGACGCTGCAGAGGTCCCGACATTTGGCAGTGCAGGAGTGATAGCAACATTAACTGAGGCCTCTTCTAGAGCCAGACCTACGGGGAGCTCAGTGGCCTAGATGGCACAGTCCCAAGAGCCAGAGTTTGAGTACCACTGCCCTCTTGCGTTAGTTACTCTCCCTTTATGGTCTGAAAAAATGAATGCATCTAAGGCAACTTCCTGATAGCAGTATTTCTAAAAGAAGATGATCCTTATTCTTCTACATTGTCATTGAACCCATTGACTTTTTCTGTTCACATATTTAAAGTTACTTACATGCTTAAGTCCATTGTTGGAGTGGAACACAAGAGTAGAAGTTTGCCTTTTGAGAAAAGAGTGTAAAATTGCTTATTCCATATTTTGATACAAAGGACAAATTCAACTTCCACCAGAACAGACCTCTCAGCTCATCTCCCCTCTGCCCCCCAAAAATCAAAGTTTTGTGTGGGTTTGCGGCATTGCATTAACTATTTTTTGCACTCTACCATATGAGTACCACAGTATATTTTCTATAGAAATCAAGTGACCCTTCTGCAAATTGGAGAGAAGAAAAAGCAAGGGACTATTTCTATCGCTCAAGTACCCAAAGGTAAAAACTCTTTTTCATGAAGAGATTATTTTACTTCATTTTCATCGTCTGCCTTTATGCAGCTTTCAGGAGTTGTACATTTAAGTGGGGGAGTGCAGTTCAGCAAAACTAAACTACTAGGGTTGGGAGGAGTCTCTCATTCTGTACCAGAACAAGATCGGTTCTGAATGGCAGCTGTCTTTCAATCTATGTCATAATACCTATTTCCTTCAGTGCCAATTATGGGACAGTTTTATTGCATATAATTCTAGACTGCTTATTTCCCTTAAAACAAAATAAGCATATTTGTTTCTCCCATCATTTGTGTTTGTCACAGAATGGTCTCTTTCCATCCATTTTTTGCTGTTAAAAAAATCAAAGAATTTAAAAGAAGGATCCATTTTGATCATGGTTTTATTTTAATATGAAAAAGCAATAATTTATGGTTCAGCGTCTATGTGTGGGTAATAGTGATTTCAATATTTATTACACTAGGAGTTACTTTATCCACATACATTAGAAATTCTTAAGTGTCCTCCAGCTTTGTTAAGAACTTTCTTCCCTGGAATGTGAATAGCGTTATTTTTACTGAAAATAGGGTGTTTCTACATGAGACACTTTACTCGAGAATAGATGCTTACTGTGCAGTAATTGGCTCTAATTATGAGTAAATTTGCTACCTGTAAATACAAGTAGCAAATTTACTCTCGATTACTTACTGTGCAGTAGTGCACATGTAGATGCCTGACCAGGAACACATTTGCTTCTGGGCAGCAGGGGGCAGGAGATTCCAAACCTTCCAAAACTTCTACCAGCTTTCCCCCAAAAAAGTCACACCCCAAGAGGGCTTTTGAACCCCTGAAGTGAGAAGTACCAGGGACTTTTAATATGACACTGCAGGGCACTAAGGTTTGCCTGCTGCTTTAAGGGCAGAAACTGCCTAGAGAGAGGGCCCTACGAGCCAGGCAGAACCCCCACAGGTGCAGGTTACTATGGCAGCAGGCTAATGAGGGAATTAGCATGGACCTGCACCCAGTCAGCTGACCAGAAGGCGGCAGGGCCCTGGGCGCACACAAGCTCCAGGGCTGGGACTGAAGGCAGTTTGTGTTGTTGCTTGTAATCTGGTAGACAGCTGAGGTTATAGGGTAAGGAGGAGGCCTCATAGGAGCACAGTGGAGAGCCCAGCACCAGAGAGGGCACAGCAACAGGGGCTGCGGAGAGCCCAGCGCCAAAGAGGGTGTGGTGACAGGGGCTGCGGAGAGCCCAGCACCAGGGAAAGCGTGTAAACAGAGGCCAAGGGTCCAGTCATGACAGGAGGCCAAGCTAGACTAAGGCCTCAGAGGGACAATGTTTGAATTCCACCTGTGAGGCATGGGGCATGGTAAAGGGTCAGTTTTGGAGCCATGCATCTAGCCCATAAGGCTCAGGGTGTCTCAAGAGGCATGGACTTTGAGTAAGTCCCAGCAAGAGATCCAAGGGCAGCAGGATTTAGTGGGTTCTGCAGGACCATGACCACGCAGTCTCGTGGGGAGCCTCCCAATTTACTATTTCAAATAGTAAGACATGGCAGGAGAGATTAGAAGGCACCCACAGGGTGAAGCTGGCTTGGTTACAAGGCCCCAAAGACATCAGGGTCCTAAAGACATCACGGCTGTCTCTAAAAAACCTTACGGCAGACGCATGTATTTCAGAGAGATATTGTAGCTAAATAGTTAACATTTGTCACTGTCATCTCAGTATTGTGTTCTGCTCCCAGGCTTTGCCCCTTAATTCCTACATACCATTAGCCATCTCTTTGGCCCTTATTTCATCTAAATGAGAGAGGTGTAGTGTTTGCTACTGGAAAGGGTAGCACCTTATTAAGACTAACTGCAGAAGAGGTTGAATTAGAAGATCTCCTGGCTCCATCAAATCCTCCTCCCCAGGAGTAAAGGGTTATATAGTAAGATAAGGATGACCCTTTTTGCTTGCTTCCACACCTCTCAGTGTTCTCTGGGGGCACTCATCTGTACAGATCATTCTCTTTCCCTGATCCTTGAGAAATAAACCACATTTCTTGTGCCATCATGTTAGCAGACTGTTAGGAGTTCCATTACAAAATTCAATCCATATACAGAAGGTGCATTTTAATCCCCTAGCTATTGATATCATTCTGTACGCTAGCTGTAAATGTCAGTCTATATACGATCTATAATTATTGTGTTAAAACATTTTTCTTTTCTTAATGGTCTAGAGCATATGAAGAAGTTCCCTGGGATAATATGTTACAGCCCAAAATCCCACCTCCAGAATCAACAGTAGAAAAGATGGCTGATCCCATCTCACCATGTTTTACAATTAGGAGATATTATCCTGTGCCAGATATAAGCCAAGTCAGTATACTTTTTATGACAGTTTGTGGGGTTTCTTGTATACTAATGAGACAGCACAAATTACAGTACCTAGGACATATGTATCCATATGTTTTAATTAGAGGTAGCTCCAAACCATGACCAAATCTCCAGTAGTTTGGAAAATTTGGATCTTGATCCCAGCTTTATAGTTTAAAACTGTCTTTTGTTTCAGGGCTTCATTTCTAACAAACAAAAGATTTAGTAAATGTAGTTGCATGCTGGAAGAGCCATTTATTGCAAATCCAGTGCTCACTGAGGCCAATGAGAGTGTTTTCATCAAAGCTAGTCAGATTTTTATTCAGTTTTATTTTGTTTTTTTATTCAGTAACAAGTTCATAAAAAGATGTTTCCACTAACATTTTCCATTCCAAAATGGAGACAGTATCTATATGATGGACAATAAAGATGCGTCATGCTCAGATGCTCATCTGTAAGTCTGAGTTGTGTGACCATGTTATCTCTTTCAAGATGCATCCCAGGCTTACCTCATGATGTGAGGAAACAATTGCATCAAAAGACCCCTCTGGCTGTGGTCCATAGCAGTAGTCTAATTGTGATATCCACCCTTCAGGGCATATGAGAAAATCCAACAACAGTTCCCATGAACTACCAGGGTTCTAAATATATAGAACTTGTCTCAGTGACTCAGGAGGCCTTTTCCAATCTTGTGTCCCTACATTAGCATCTTGTTTTTCAAAGAAAAAGCAAAAATTTTCACAGAACATAGGTACCTCCTTGGAACAATCTGTTTGACAAATGCCCAGTTTTCCATTAAAAATAATTTTGACAGAAAATCTTTGACCAGTCCTACTTCTGTTGATTTCAGCATACACCGGACTGGGGCCATTGACTTCTCTCTCCTATATTTTTATAGGACAAGATATTTTAGAAATAAAATTTATAACATAATATTGAAAACATTTTTCCCTTAGCTGAGTATAAGAGAGTTAGTGAGGTAGGGTTAGATGGTTCAGGCTATTAATTTTGAAATATAGAGACTTCTGCCTCTGTTACCTCTTTAAATGGGGCTCAGGTTGGTGAAAGAAAGTGTTGCTAATTGATAAGTACTCTGTAGCCTGCCTGACTTGGGTTGGTGGTTCCCATTTAGTTTCCTATAGAGAAAAGTTCTCATTAAAAAATGCTGTTACAGGTAATGGTAATGGGCACCTTTGGTAGCCATTTTAACAGGTGAAGAATTGAGTGAGTATGATGATTGCACTATTATCTCATCCCTCCAAAAAGTTGATGGGCAGGATGAGAAATTTCCTTCCTCAGCTCCCAGCACCGCTGCCAATCCTCCCCCACACTCCCCTGCCTAGCTCCCCCGCTGGGAAGAGCCCAGTGCCGCCCTTGGTCCCAGCCTGTAGCGGAGCCTCCCTTTACCCCACACACAGGTCTGGGGGTACATGCCTCCTGCGGGGGTGTGCACAGCGGCAGGAGCTTCCCCCTCTGCCCAATGAGCTGCTCACAGCTCTGTCCTGTGCCCTGCCCTGTCTGGGCAGCACCTGCCTGTGCCTTCGTCCCACTCCCTCCCTCACCACAGGTGCCTCGATCTGCCCCCTGTCATGCCCCTTCCCCCACGCAGACTTACCAGCTAGATGCTGCTCTTCTAGCTGCTGGGCTGGCCATATGCATCCTGTGGCTGTGCATGTGCACGCAGCATTTATCAGCAACTTTATCGGCCACGTCAGCCAAAAAAAGCTGATTACTGATAATGTCAATGTTCCTTTATTGGTGTTGATATGATATGGACCGATGCATCGGTGCACCTCTGTTAATTAATACTGTGTTTGTTGAATGTAATTATTTACTTTAACATCATATTTTCTCATATACAACACACTTTTTTTCCCAGAGCAAGCTGATGGAAACTGCAGTGAGCATACTGCTCAGTGGGCACATCTACACAAGACTCTTACTGCACAGTAGCCTAATAACACTGCAGAGTTGCATGCCAATTAAAAAAATGTTAATACGCTACTGTGCAGTGTTATAAGCTACTAAACAGTAAGTATAAAAAAACAAAACCATGTGCCAGCACTAGTATGCTGTAGTACAAGATACCGTGCATTGAATTAGTACTTGGTTAACCAAATGCTAAACGTAATGTGTAGTAACTAGGGTGTATTAATGAATGTGTAGACACCCCCAGTGTGCAGGAAACTGAGGCTAGGTACAGACATTCAAAAAACCTGAGGGGGAATCAATTAAACCTTTGGAGGTTTCTGTAAGGTTAGTTCAGGAGTGAATAGAACACACATTCATCCTGTGGTTGCAGGGGGCATGCAGGCTGCTGCAGTGGCTGAGTCCAGCAGGTTGAAGGTGCTCCTGCCTGCTAGAGAATGCCAAGATTGGTTGCCATGTCTATGCAACTGAAGCCTCAATTCCTCCCCACAACTCATGCCTGGCTGCAGCTGACAGTTCACCCCAGGCAGGAGGCAGGGCTGGGGACAGAGGCTTTGCTGGCTCAGCTCTGACAGCTCGGGGGTGGGGCACACTGAGAGCTCAGCTAGAGAAGCAGAGCTGGGGGTGAGTGCTAACACAGCTCCCTGTGAGGGGGATTAGCAGGGGCTCCAAAGGTGCCTGGGATACCAGCAGAGGGCACCTAACATGAATCAATAGGGGATCTGGTACAGAAATTTGCACTGGTATAACCTAAATTAGTTAAGTTTTTGCAGGCACATTGATCCAGATCTATCTTAAACTGGGTTCCACCATTTTTTAAATCAGTCTGTGTGTGATGCACTTCTGTTCTGTTATGGGTATAGACTAATTTTTTGTCACTTATACCAATTTATGTGTAATGTCCAGGGATCCTGGTTTTCGCTGTTTGAAAATCCCAAATTCTCTGATAAAATGCAAATTCTCTGATTAAAAAACCCCAAATCTATGTTTTTCCTCAATTAAAATGAAACATCACTGTATACATAGGTATCAATTGAACGCAATATTTTATTTTTGTTTATATTTACAATTTTAAAGCAATTTGGAAGCCTACCAGTACCTCAATCATTATAATAAAATACATTCTGAATATCTGTTTAGACTATTTATTCAAAGTACCTATTTTGGCACCCCCAGCATGTAAGGAAGGGAGTTGGGAATGGGGAGTGGGGGCACTGGGGGCAGGGGACACATGCCCCTCCAGATTTCTGTCCCACAGTGGGGTGCAGGGCTACAGCCAGGCTGGACCAGCCTCCACGGCCCAGTGGGCAAGACCTGCGTGGTAGGCAGCACTGCGCTGCTATGGCCACCAAGCTGAGACACTCCCATCCAGCCCAGCAGCAGCAGGGGACACAACTCCAGCACTGCTGCTGTGCCTTACCATGGTGGCATGGCCCTCCTGCCTGTGCTGCATTCCACCCCACACATGCACATGACACCCCTGGACTCCACTGTCCCCCCTCAGCCCCAAGCAGCCCCTAGCAGGCTGGAACTCTGCCAGCCTGCAAGGAGAAACCCACAGTTTCCCAGTTTTTCTCCTTTAAAGGATAAAAATCTATGTTTTTCCTCAACAAATGGAAAACCCAGATTCCTGGTAATGTCTGTACCTGGCCCAAGAAATATGATGAGAACAATTTCTGCCATTTATAGGCAAAAGTAAAAGTAAAATTTGCACCTGACTCAGAAGGAGCAGAAAAATCGTTCTTTGGCTCCCTGGCTTCTGCTACTCAGTTACTTACTACAAGGAAAGATCTTTTTTTCCCTTCATTCTGCCTTTCAAAAACAAGGTGTGTATTATATACTGGGGCACATTGTATGTGAGAAAATATGGTAGTTAAAAGTGTTTTATGACTACTGCTGTCACCCTCTAAACAATAACTGAGGACAGATAAAGCTGTTTCTTATAGCAAATCCCCTCTATTTTTTTGAGGAAAGGAGGAAAAGAAACACTGTTCAGTTTGAAAAGTTCCAGTGTGTTAAGAACCTCATTGGCTTTTCATTAAATGTAATCATTTCTTTTCAAAAAGGTTAAACACTGTAACCTTTGTCTAGTTTCCAGACTTTCCTGTTTCTACTAAGCCTCGTTATTGATATTTTGAAAAGTAAGGCTCTGTCCTGCAAATGGGCCAGTCTTTATCTTTGAGCATATCCAAGTGCAGGATCAGTGCATAAGTATATCAAGCTAACTTAATTAAGATAGTCCTTGTGTCAAGGAGTAGTTGTCATGGATCGTGCACCTTTCAAGGGAAGCTCTTCCTGAAGACTCCTCAAGAAGCAGCTTTATTCAATCTTTCTCCTTCAGGGCCCCTGCCCTTGTGTGGCTTTTCAAGGTGTGGGCCTTCAACTTGACACTGGTTCCTCTCTGGCTTCCCCAGTGATTTGTAGCACGCCCATTGCAAAGACATCCTTCTTTTTGGTCAGTCCTGGGATTACCAAGTCCCAAAAATACAGCAAAGGCTCTCCAGGTACTTTGGGACTCCCCAAAAAGATGCCTTTATTTACTCTCCCTCCTTCAGGATCCCCTGAAGCTGACCTTGGTGTGATTTTTCAAGGGGCAAGCTTCTGCTTTTGAGATACAGGCTTTTCTCTGGCGCTGACTTTCCTGGTGATCCATAGCAGTCTTGCCTCAAAGAGCTCTCCTTCTTCTTGGTTAGCTCCTGGAAAAATCTGATGATTGGCAGTCCTATTACCCTAGAAGAACTTGGCTGTCTTTTTGACCCATTTAATTCAGGCTGGCTGGAAACACCTGGAAAGCTGCCCCTGGAACACAGCAATCCTATGATGTCTGGAGGCCCAGGGTCACCAAATGCTAGAGAAAATGCAAAGGGTATGATGATACTTTCCCCTGTACCTAAGACTACTTTATCAGCAATCCGTAGTGCCCTCACTTCAAAGAGCTCTTTTTTTTGGTCAACTCCCAAGAAGGCAAGGTAGACTTGTCTCAAGGTAGGTTTTCTTCAAAGAAGTGGGGGCAGGGTGTCAGCATCCCAAGTAGTACAGCAGACAGCTTAACTCCAAACAGTCTTTGTTGTGCCACTGCAGTTCCCACTGTCCTTCCTTGGACCCTACTCTGTCCTTCCTTGGATTACTTCTTTCTTTCCAGCAATCTGCCCTCCCTGGGACTACCCTTCCTCCCCTCAGTTCACTCAGAGCCTCCCTTTCTCTTCTCAGCCCAACCCGTCACCCTTGCAACGAAACTGCCACAAAAGCATAGCAGTTAGCACGGGGACTAACAGTCACCTAATAAAATTAAACATAGTGTCATGTGGAACTAATCGTGGAATAGTCTCTGTAGCTTGCTGTCAGGCCTGGACTGCCATCTCCCTCTGGGGTGAAAAGGGCATCTATAATGTCCTACTTGTGAAACTCTTTGCAGCAATTATGTTCATCAACACTGAGCCCCCCAAAGTGTTTCCCACCAGCCTACAGGCTAAAACTCAGCCCATTTAGCCTCTTTATCACAACAGTCTTATTTTAATTCTAGTCCATTGGAGGCCTCTGGGACAGATTTCAAACAAGATGTTTTACCTCACCGCAGAAGCCAATTGATTTGTAAGTTTCTCTCTGGATACATTTTAACGGTAAATGTCTAAGTCTTTTCAGTACTGTGCTTCTCTTATGAAATGTTCTGTTTATGACATAGTTTTATTTTTCAGATATGAAGTTATATAAATAACATATTTGCTGATCATCTGAGTTCATGGTGACTCCTATACACTTTACAAATATACTGTAACCCAAGATATCACAATATTTTGATTAAAATGTCAGGGTTTTTCAGAAGGGTTAAACAAGAAACCTAGCCTGGGAATGAGCCAACTGTCCCACACCCTTCTCAAGCTTTTTGAACCTCAGTCCCCCTTCCCTCCCCAACAGGTTTTGCCTGGGATGCAAACCTCAACTGTTATGTCCCTGAATCATTCCACAGAATTGACTGAAACACCAGACACCTGAGCTGGGTTTTGGAAAGCTGGGGCTCTACCTGCTAAATTTTGGCAAAAATGTCCAAAAATCCTTTTCTCTTCCTTTCCTATGCATCCTCTCAAAAATCAAAGCTCCGACTTCCCTCTGCCATGCCTGCAAGTCCTCAAAAACCTCTCTCAGTAGCTCCCTTTTTTTTTCCTGTCAGCTGCATAGTCTTCTTAACATAGTAGTCTGTAACTTACTGAGGAAAGAAAGATGCAACTAATTTGTTTTGTATTTTGTTCTTACCAGTGTAAGCCCAAGCTCTCGCACTCAGCACATCCCTTTCTACACGTAAGTAAAGTTTTTTGCTATATCATTCATTTTGCAATTCTGATTTATTTCAGCCTGTTTTTTTTTCCTGCAGGCTTGTAGCTTGACTATAAGATGTGATCTGCTTTTACAGACTTTTTCTTGAGGCAATGGACATATCCACAACCTGGCAGCAAGTTGTCTCTGCAAAGACATTCCCAATCAGGCTCTGCTCACATGCTGCAAGTGCACAAAAAGACTGGTGAAGATGTTCCAGGGACATCACCCCCTGGCTTATCTTGAGATCTCATAATGTCCTACAGCTCCAGTTAAGGCTCTGGTATGGTGCTGGGGCTGGGAGAGACATCCAGCTCCCATCTTCTGCAGCACACCACAGCACATTGGAGTCTTCAAGGGCTCATGATCTAAATAAAATGTGTTTTATTTAGATCATGGTAAACATTACTGTGCAACTGCTTAGAAAACTTTCTAACTCACAGTAAGACTTATTACAATCTAAATAAAACATGTCCTAGTGTAATGTGCTACAGGGTCTTTACAAGTGTATTCCCATGTTTGGAGCATGCAGCTAGGAGCAGAGAGGGGAACTGTTCAGCGCCATCTCTGTTGGGACATGCTGTCATTGTGTGGCTATCCCCAGTGAGTCTAATTGTCCTCTGATTAAGCTGGTGTAATGCAGCAGACATCAGCAGCATTTGTCCTGATTTACAGTACTGTAAACTGAGAATCAGGCTCCTTTTTGTCGTCTTTGCAAACATATCTTACTCTAGCATAGCATAACAGGTACAGACCTAAACAGAAAGGACAGATGTTTCTCACATTATTGACTGCTTCCCTGAAAATCACTATGCATATGTAATTAAGTTATCTTTAATTATATGCTGCTAGTACAGTGTGTATGTGTCTTCATCTTGGGATGTGAGTGGATATAGGATAGTTCGTCTCCATTTTTTTCCTCCTTGTAGATGACTTTAAATAAATAACTGTAATCTTTGAGTGCAGAGTATGGCCCAGCTATCTCAACCAGATGTCTTATGGATAATGTACATGTCTTTGCTTTTCCTTTTTGTTCAAATAGTGGCTGTATTGGTGCTGAGAATTTTGAAGACATAGACAATGCCAGCGTAGATTTGATCACTCTTACCAATGTTCGGACTTCGAAACCTCGCTACACAAGCACCTCCCAGTATGTTGCTTTTATACCTTCCCTTTTTATATGATAACTGTCTGAGAGTTTTTAAGAGTCCAAGGCTCTGTAGAAAAGGGAATAGGATTGTCCCTGTCCTGGATGGAGGTATTTGAAAGATGGGAACTATTGTGTTTGCAAGTGCTTGGAAAAGTTGTTGAAGTCACCAAGGGCTGAGTCGATGAAAGAAGATCCTTTGGCATCAGTGGCCGTGATATCAGGCCTACGCAGATCAATGCAGTTGAGTCAACTTACAGAGCCATTCCAGCTGGTTGTGCAAAATGTAGTCACACAAGCTATTTGTAAGATGAGTAGAGAGTTCTGCAGCAGGATGATCTAGCGTAGTTTGATTAAATTCTATTCTGCATGTTCATGTTGGAGAATTTCACTTACTTGTGGTATACACATAGTTAGGCTATCTATAAATTCATCAGGGAATCCTAGGTCACAAAGCTTGGCATTACTGCTGTTTCAGGCTGAGGCAATGTCACAGTTTTCAGTGGAGCTACACTACTGGAAAAATTGGAGTGACACAGTAGTGAAGCAGATCTTTAACCTAGAAAAAAATTAACTAAGCTGTCGTATTTACCCACCCAGAATCATAAGGCAGGGAGGGATTTTAAGGGTCATCTGGTCTAACCCCCTGTACAAAAACAAGATGTACTGTTCCTAAATCACCCAAGGGCATCGCCTATTCTGACCCTTTTGGAAAACCTACACTGTTCAGCATGTTCTTTGTGGTTTCTTTTCTTCTCGTCAAATTTTATTCTTTTAAGACATCCAAATCAAACTTCCTTTAATGCAACTGTGACTGGAACTGTCTTAATCAGTATTTAATCAGTACACAAGGAAAAATAAAGTTAGGTTGACATCTGCATTTTTATTACAATTTATTTAAAATCATTAATTTAATTACATTAGAAGACTTTTTGTTTTCATTGATTAAAGAAACTCCTAAATATGTTGAAAAATATAGTCTGGTGATTGAGAACCATTAGGACAAGGTTATTCTGTACATATGCATCTCATTGTTGTCCCAACGCTGAACAGTTGCTGGGTATTGCAGGTTAATTTCCTGTGGAGGAAAAAGAAAGAGCCTGAGTATTTTTTTTTTTTTATTTACACTATGCATACCAGTCCTTGAAGAGAGGTAGCCAGATAACATATATATGGATTCTCACCAGTGCTACATTCTTAGGCAGCAAGAGCTGACTGTAATTACAGAGGTCATATTTGTCAGAGACCAGATTGTCCTTCTGTTTGCAACTGCTTCCACAAAACGAAACACATCACAAAATTAACAAGAATACACCATTTCTTCAAAGACCAAACATTGTTTGCATGCTCATAAAAATAACTGTTTACACTGTGTATAACAGCACCTCCTGGTGGCTCCTACTGTGATAATATCGAAGCAGCCTCTAGAAAAGATGATTGGTACATACCAAAACAGATGCAAAAATAGTCAAACGGTAGAAAATGAACATTCCACACATGTTCTATATTATGACTTGGATGCATATGAGTTAGTCCATAAGTATCAAGTCTGATATTTGTCACATTTTTCTCTGAACTAAATACATTTCTTCTGAATGTATTTTAGTATCTGTTAAATCTTTTCTCCCTATTCCCTGAAATCTACCAAAGCAATGCACTGTACTTATGTTATTCCTTTTCTTTTCTTTTTTTTTCCTTTTTTTTTTTTTTTTTGCAGCATTCAATTAATAAAATACATTCGGTATAGAAGTATGCTAAGGAAAAAAGGAGGATGTATGTAGTAATGTAATAAATAATTTAAGATAATGATCTAAGTTCATGTGCTCTTCTCAGCTCTTTGTTGATATCCGTGATGCTAGATTTTCATGCCACATGTTATATTTGTAAGTCTTATAGTATCTGCCCATGTAAAAACTTAATCTTATCATTGGGAGCTATAAAGTATCTATGATAATACCTATGTACTACTGTACCTATGTACTGTACTGTCCATGAGTTACTGGCTATGGCACAGATCTGAAAGAGGGAAAACAAATTATGTTGTTTGCTCTGCAGCTAGGTTCTCAAGGAAGACTTAGGCATAGCTCAGGTGCCTGCTGTGTACTGAAATTCTCAGCTCTGCCTTAGGTTCCCAGTCTACCAACATGTTGCACAGGAGAGTTAGGTGCCTAAAAAACAAGATCCACAAAAATCAGCAGGCTGAGGAGGAAGCTAAAATAATCAGTAGAAATGCTGAGAGGGAAAAGGGTTAAATATTATAAAGCCACACAGGAAAAGAGAAAATAATTCTTTGGTGTAAAGCCTTGAGCACTCAGCTGGGAGATGGAATTGTCAGGGTTGAATTCATGTTCCAGTGAATATTTACCTATTTACATGAAGTGGAACTGTGTCAACAGGAGGGATTAAGAGAAATCTATGCTTGGAAACCCTGCATGCCAGTAGTTAGGACCCTGTCCCAATAAATGAAAGATTTTGGGTTAAAGTTCTTGCTTCAAATCAGGAAAAATGAAATTTTAGTCAGGCATCTTCTGTCTCTTGAGGAGTGCTGTAAGCAGCAGGGTATTGGAGGGAACACTGCCATCTCCTCACACCCATAGCTTTTTGGGGTAGACATGCTCTGTGCTTATCTAAAGGACTAAGCCCAGCAGGTAAAATAGATGGGAGAAGGGCCTAGCTTGTGTGTCCTGATGTCACTTATGCATGAGGTAGATGTAAGCTTTTCTGCACGTGCTCAGAGGCAGAAATGTACCCTTCAGTGGGACTTCACCTCCTGACATTTATGAGTGTGGGACTCTTGGCTCCAGCTAAATGGAGGTTCTGTGAATCCCAGTGACACCTACACTTCAGACTTGGCCAAGAACAGCAGAAGTGGGAACTTAAGTCCTGCTTTTGCTGTAGCTTCATGGCCCCTAGGGAGAGTCCCTAAAAAGATGACTAACATGGGAATCAAGGACCTAACCTCTTTAGACACTTTTGTTAACCCCACTAGATGCATGTCTGTATCTTTGGTTGGCTAATACCTTTCTAAATGTAGTTCTTGTGGTCTGACCCAAGGTCCACTAAGGTTCTCATTTTGGATATTTGGTTTCTGAGTTCCCAGCTTTTGATAACTAATGACTGATGTTAGGGGGGCTGAGAATGCACAACTTCTGGGTAGTTCAGAAAGGACATTTAGTAGATTTCATAAACATTAGGGGCTGGAAGGGACCTTGTGAGATCATCGAATCCAGCCTACCTGCCAGAGACAGGAAGTCTGCAGGGATCAGATGATCCTAGCAAGATAAACTCCAAATGCCTTTTGAATGAGTCCAGAGTAGGTGCTTGCACCACCTCTGTGGGGAGTCTGTTCCAGACCGTGGACACTCGGACTGTAAAGAAGTTTTTCCTTGTATCGAGTCTGAATCAGCCTTCTAGAAGTGTGTGGCTGTTAGACCTAGTTATCCTTTGGAGAGCCCTGATGCACAACTGTTCTCCCAGATCCTGATGTACCCCACCTTATATACTTACAGGCAGCCACCAAGTATATCTTGAGCCTTCTCCTTGCCAGGCTGAAGAGTCCCATGTCCGTCAACCTCTCCTTGTAAGGCTTGCTCTCTTTGATCAAATGGGAGGCTCTCCTCTGGACTCTCTTGAGCTTATCCACATCCCTCCTGAAGTGGGGGGGCCCAAAACTGGATGCAGTACTCCAGCTGCGACCTCACAAGCTTTCAGATATCTTGGCCATAGGGCATGCTATGATGTCTGCCAGCTCTTTTAAGACTCTGGGGTGTAATCTGTCCGGGCCTGCGGACTTATGGATGTCAAGCCTCTCAAGATGTTCTCTCACTTGATCTACGTCAGTTGTGGGCCCATCTCACGTGCCCTGGTTGCTTTGCGTCCTGTCTGACAGTATGACCCCCTTGGGTGGGTAGAAAACTGATGCAAAGTAATCGTTTAGAAGATTGACCTTTTCTTGGGCATCAGATGTCAGTTGCCCCATTTGATCTCACAGGGGGCCAATATCATTAGTGATGTTAGTCTGAAATCAGGCAGAAGGAAGAGCAGGTTGGCACCTTAGGGTGCATATGTACATGCTAACTTTCTGACAGTTAAGTCGACTGAGCTTTTTTAAGTCAACTTAACTGTCACAGTGCACACACCTATGTGGAGCAGAGTCAACTTAAATGCAGCGCAAGATAATACACCTCTGAGGTGTATTATCTTGAATCACATTAGTTAAGTTGACTTAGCTCACAAGATGGCCATCACCATGTCAAGGAACTGTACGTGTGTGGTTTAATGTGGCTTAACTTAAATTGACTTAGTTAAGTCACCTTATTTTAAGTCAATTTAGTATGTGTGTACGTACTCTTAGGGCATCTTTAGACATGTTCCAGGGTAGGGGACCTTTAATTAGAGCAGCTCTTGGGAGCCGCTCTAATTAGAACGCCCACAATGTCTTGTGTATTCAACATCCGTGCTTCAAAATGACAGTGAGGGTGCTTTAACTAAAGCTCATTTGATGAGCTTTAGTTAAAATTGTCCCTCCCACTGTTTTGAAGCATGGGGGTGCTGAATACATGTGATGCTGAGGCTGCTGGAGCATGTTAATTACCGCATGTTGAAGCAGGTGTCAGGCATGTCCAAGAGTGCTGAAGGAGCCGGCCCAAGTCATCATGAGACATCTGGTGAAACTCTTCCAAAACCTGTGGCACTTGGGGGAGGTCCCTGAAGACTGGAAGAGGGCCAATGTGCCCATTTTCAAGGGAGGATGGAGGACCTGGGCAACTAGGCCAATTAGCCTAACTTATCCCAGGGAAATTCCTGGAAAAATTTATCAAGAAGTATATATGTGATATGCTTGCAGAACGTAGGATTTTGAACAACAGCCAGCATGGCCTCATCACAGGCAGGTCTTGTCTTACCAATCTCATCTCCTTCTACGACCAGGTAACTCGCCACCTGGATACAGGAGAGGAGGTTAACACTCTATACCTAGACTTCCAAAAGACCTTTGCTTTGGT